TTTGAGGACGTTACATATCCTCATTGGTTAACTTTAAATTTTAACTCCCCTTTGGGAAATGGATTGGCTTTTAGTTGGGATTAAAAAAGTGCGAAAAGACAAAATAAATTAAATAAGTCAATAAGATAAAATGTCATATTTAAACCATAACCATTTCACTTTTTTCTATAAAAAAAAAAAAACAAAAAAGTTAAAAAAATCTTCTCAAACGTAACTAATTTAGCCAATCTAAATTAGGCAAAAAATCAAACAATTAGGCTAAAAAAGTTCTTTCTAAACAAACCCTAGCTAAAAATTATAAGTTAATAAACTATATAAAAAAAAGTCAAAAATTATATTTTTTTTCTTTACTTTTTACACTTTATTTATAATATAATTTAAAAAATCATCCCAAATAAACTATTTTTTGGAGGCATTTACACACAAGTCTTAATTTATAAACTTATACTCCAATATATTCTAATTAAGATTTTTTGGACCTTCAAGTCCCATTAAGCTTTTAATAATTGGAATTGCCCTTCAAATAATGATTGTTCATCATTTATGATTATTTATAAAGAAACATTATGATTTGATATTTATTTTAATTTTCAAAATTTTAAAATTGAAAAAACTAAAAAAAAATTATGTGAAAAAAAAAACTAAAAATGTATTTGGTTTCAGTTTTTTGAAAATTAAGTTTTTTATTTTTCGTGTTTTTTTGTTTTTAGTGAATGTTTTTAAAATTTTAAATAATTTTTTTATTTTTTTAGATGCACCTTACTTAGATGTATCTAAATAGTAAAATATTTATGAAAAAATATGTTAAAAATTAAGAAATATACAAAAATATGAAAAATGTAATGAATTTTCATTTATTTTTTTTTATATTTTTGATATTTAGTGAATTTTTTAAAGATTTTTTCCACAAATATTATACTTTTTAAGTGTATTTATGTTAGGTGTGTCTAAACATTAAAAAATTACTTAAAACATTAAAAAAAATTATTGAAAATGAAAAAAATACGAAATAAAAAAGTAGAATTTTCTAAAAAGTATTTTCTAAAAACCAAAACTATGAAAAATTGAAAAAACTGAATTATTTTTTGTGCAATACTGCAAATTTTATGTCCATAAAGGAACTGTCTTGCCCAACATTGAATCTACAACGCAGATGTCGAATCCACGACGACGAGTCACTCCGGAATCTACCAAAATTTCATGCCCAAATTCTCCGAAATCCATTGAAGAACAACTCCCTCTTTTGTGAATTAAAGAAAACACACAAACCTCACAGATCCATTGATCAGTCTTAAATTATCAATATAAAATACATTGTTTTTTCTTCATCTTTGAAAATTTGGACGGCTCAAACCCTAAAAATAACAAACTGCACACTTTATAGAAAACTGGATCACGAAGATCGCTCGAGCGCACACTTCACCACTCAAGCCGTGTGAGTAAAGGCAGTGCAAAACATATAGGCTGACTGCTCAAGCGCAACATTTACCGCTTGAGTGGTAAAACTTTCTTCCCAGAAGTTCAGGCGCTCTACAAAAGTATTCGAGGATCCTTTTCTCTGCTCGAGCGCACAAATGACCACTCAAGCGATCAAAGGAACTTCGACTGCATTTTTGCTTTTTGCTTTTTGCTTCAGCAAAGTGACAAATATAAAAGAATCAAGATCACAGGCTGCTCTGGATAGGCCCAATTCGGGTTGGATTCGCAACTAAACACTTACATCCTCACTGAAACATAAGAGCTTATAAAATTACAATTAAAAGGAGTTTTGTCAAACGGAATTGCCAATTATAAAAACCTAACAATCTCCCTCTTTGACGATTCAGTGACAAAACACACCTAACAAATAAAATCCTAATCACCCAAACCCATAACAGCCAATCAAGATGATATTAGTGCCATGATCTGAAAAATAGCTATTACTGCCACAGTCTGTAAAACAACTATTATTGCCACAAGAGTATATGAAAGTAATAGACATATGACAAGATTATCCTGCAGCATGAATAGATGAAAATTTTAAGAACATGGAGACATACTAAAAAAACTCTCAAAAAATATCATATAGGTTATTGCATGTTTTCGCATTGTATTTTATTAATATGGCACAACTCAATTTTTATTTTTTTTCATCCCCTCCTCAAATTTCCAAGTACCCTACTCTCTCATTACAACCACTCAGACTAATCTGAATTCATTCTATGACCCCTTTCACTAATTCATGCCAAAACTTAGAACTCTCTACATTGAATTATGAGACTATTATTGGATCTTAGGTGAATTTCATGAGAAAGAGTGCTGAACTGAAAATTTAGGCTTTGTCCCTAATTAGATGGAATAGATCAAGCATATTGTTTGAGTATCATGTCGGTTATTGTATGTTTTCGCATAATATTTATTTGATTAATATGGCACAACCCAATTCTTATTTTTTTTTTTTCATCCCCTCCTCAAATTTCCAAGTACCCAACTCAATAACCTAAATAAGAAGAAATTCCCTACTGAATTCTCCATTAATCTATAACTTGTATTATTTTATAAAAAAAAAATCACCTTAAATTTAAGCCTTTCGTTCACAGTGTGGTGCTTTTTCTGTAGGTTACCTCACCTCGGTGGGCCATTGACAACAAACAACGATGCGGCTTTGGCGAAGTTCCTTGAAAGAAAACTTCAGGAGCCTAATCGATTGGCTCCTATAAAGCCCGAACTTGTTAAACTGTCTGTCAAAAATGCAAAGGATATGTAAATGCAAGTAATTACCGGTTACATCTTGTAGTTTTTTTCCCAATGGTGTTAAATTCCTTTATTCTCGAACTAGGCTATGGACCTGGTTAAACCTAGTCAAGTTTGTGGACACCCTTTTTTTACCTTATGTGCAATGCATGTCAAATTCATGACTTATAAGCCTTATATACATGACCCAACTCATGACCTAATTTTTCTTCAAAGAGTCTTTCCTGTTGGATTATATGGTTCAGACTTGGTGTAATAGTGATTTACTAAATCTCATTGATTTTGACTTTTGTTTCTTTTTTATTCTTATCCGTATTCAAGTAGTAGGTATTTTCAAAATTCATATGAATATATGCAGAATAGTTAAAAGAACATATCTGTAACCTAATTTCTTATTGGAGTTAGAATTCTAACAGCTAACTATAATAAGCATTAAGGGATTTTTTCTCCAAATTTTGGTTTGTTTTATCCTGATAATAACTTACAAAAGTTTAGTGTTTTTATCCCTATTTGACAAGGTAGTATTGTACTCGCATTAATTTGTATTTACAATTTGTACTATACCTAATTGGTTCTAGGTGGGCTTACCAGGCCAGTGTTCACTCCTAGACTATCAATCTACTGGGATGTGGTTGTATTTGTTGGTAGGGTGCTTGATCTCTTCACTTCTTATCATTGGGTGTTTGTATGGAGGTTTGGCAGTATGGCAACTAGCTTTTCTGTACATTGTGTGTGGAAATAATGAGTATTCAATTTGATCAATTCTGGACAAATTTCAAATTTCACTTGTTTTATACTTCATCTATTACGTTATCATGATGGTTGCTTTCCTTGCTTGTATGTGAATGATCTACTCGCATTAATGATATATGGGATGTTGCATATATCCCTATAGTATTTCTCATATTGTATTAAGCAATAAAATCCAATGTTCTCTCTATAACAGGTGGGGCTTCACATTTAGGAAGAATAGTTCGACAAGTAGACTCTGTTGGCGACTTTGAGGTGGTTTCTTTTTGCGTTCCTGTAATCATTTTTGGAAAAGTTTCAATACACCGGTGTGTTTCTATGACCTATTTTTCTTCTTACTTGGTTGCAAATATGACAGGATTCTTTGGAAAATAGAGGTGAAAAAATTGAGTCAAAGAAACACAAGAAGAAGAAGAAGAAGAAGAAGAAGAAGAACGATAAAGGAAAAAAACAAAAAAAAAAAAGGTTTTTTTGCCATTGACCATTTCATCCTAGTCAAATCAAAATTGTAACCCTTGCTTAGTCTTTAATGTTTTTTTGTTGCAGTCATCAAAGGACACTGCAGATGCTGTAGTGAAACAGCCTAAAAAGAAGCTGAAATTGTGATTCAAATAGAATCTGATTCCAACTGTTTGTCTAAAGACATATTGAAGGGTTTACAAACTAGGTTTATTAGAGTATCTGCTTTCGCTTTTGATTAGAACAGGCACTATTTCAATGAATTTTCAAGGAGTTTTTTTTTTTGTAATTAGTTTTTTTTTTTTTTAGAATTTATTTGATGCAAATGATTCAAAACCCTAATGATTAAATTCTTGAGTTGTGCAATTCAATCTATTCTTCTGGTTCTTTGTCAAAGTGGATTTGTACCTAGAAACTTCTTGCAATGTTTTCCATGTGGTGTTTTGGTTGAGTCCATTACCTCATTTCCATTGAATGATTGTTGTGTTGTGTCAATTTTCTAAGGAATTTCATAACATTCTCTTAAATGTGTCTCAATAGGATATTTAATTGTTGATTAATGTTTCAAACATCCGTTAGTTGTCTTGTTTAGGACCTCACTCTCTCTACTAAACAACCAAATGTAGTTTTACTTCTTGTGTGTATACTCACAGCCTCATTGACTAGAATGATCCAGGCCCATATGATAGGGTTGGCCTGAATTTTTTGAGGCCCAAAGCAAACTCAAAAATGTGGCTCAACTTTTAAAATTTTTTTAAAGAATATATATTGGTAAAATATTAAAAATCTTCAATTTACTTTACAAATTACATTCCACTATTCCAAAATGCACGATTGATCACGATTCAAACTCTCCCCAAACCCTCTCTTCATTGACTGCCATCCGGCCACCCCGCTCCCTTTCAAAAAAACCCACAGCTCCTCCTTCAAGCACCACATCTCCTCCTTCTTCGGTTGTGGGTTCCGCACACACGAAGACGACCTCCTCGAATCACTGCCATGTAAATAGGACGAGATGCCACGTCGCGACTACAACTTCTCCATCTCCAGCGATTCCGATGACAAACTCTTCCCTCCTCCTCCTCCTCCTCCTCTGCCAACACGACACCCTATCACCACTTCCATCTCTGGCGATTTCAACAACGAGCTCTTCTCCCCTCCTCCTCCTCCTTCCTCCTCCGCCGATACGACACCCTATCACCACTTCCTCGGCGGACAGTGGTTTGTGTGGCTACGAGAGAGACGATGAAGAAGAAGAGATCATGACACAAGTGTCGTTTTCACTAAATCGCAAGAAGAGGGTGAAGAAGCTGTTACCGTCGTTTCCGGCGGAGGGTAAAGTGAAGGACAGCTTCGCGGTGGTGAAGGAATCGGTGGACCCATATGAAGATTTCAAGGCATCCATGATGGAGATGATATTAGCAAAGCAGCTGTTTGAGGAGAGAGACTTCAAGCAACTGTTGGAGTTTTTCTTATCGCTTAATTCGCGTCATCATTACGAGGTCATTGTTGACACTTTTTCGGACATTTGGAAGACAATTTTTTTGTAGTACTAGTTGTATTTTATTTAGTTGCTCAATTGAGTTTTGTATCTTGATTTTTCATTGTTTTTCTCTTTCTTTTGTCCTTCATTTATTTTTTATTCAAACCTGACCAAAATAAATGTTATCTTTCTTTCACATTATTGAATTAGCAGACATTTACTGATGTGGATGTTGTTGAGTGTGGATGTTGTTGACATTCAAACCTAACCAATTTTTTAAAAATTATTATTTTTTCTGAATCATACGTGTATTTGCTTCATTAAAATCGCGTCTTTAATCGTGTACTTCATGAGGCATTGTCAAAGATTCGACTTTGAAGTACTGGGTTTATTTTAATTTTTTATTTATGGGAATTGAATGTGCTTCAATGGTGTACTGGGTTGTAAAATAATTATTTGATTTTTATTTATCCTTTTAGGGTTAATAGGAAATTTGTTTGTTGCTTGGAGGGTTACCAATTATTTTTGGAGTGAATGTTCAATTCGGGCATGGATTATGCAAAGGAAACCGGTGAAACCGTAATCACGACACGGTTTGTGTGGCCTTATGGGGGAGGAAGTGTTTTTCTTTGTGGCTCTTTTACAAGGTGAGACTCAAATGCTCATGTGTGATTTTGATGATTTATTTGTTAGCTGCACTGTATTGTTCATTACTTTGTTGTAATTCTTAGTTCAATTGATTGTTATTTGTTTGATTTTAATTGATGGAAAGTTTACTTTTTTCTGGTAAAGGTGGTCTGGCCATTATCCGATGACTCCTATCGAAGGGTGCCCCACTGTATTTCAAACTATTTGCAGCTTACCGCCAGGTTACCATTAGGTTGGTTTATAACTTCAGGAGGTTTTGACGATTCCACTTGAGCTGGGTTTAATTCAATAATACATTGATCACTATTGTCAAATAATTTCCTATTAAATCATATTTATTTTTATTTTTTCATGCAAATTTGTCAATTATGTGTCATGAATGGTGGATGAGTTCATATATGGAAAATGGGTTTCATGAACAAACAAAACATTTACGCTTTTTATGGGCATAGTGAAACTTATGTACGTCGTCGGTGGTAAATTCTAGCAACCTTTTTAGGTATGGTAATTGTTCTGATAAATGTTGCTTTTTGATGTGGTTGGATGTGAAAATGGTGCTATAATTTTTCTTAAAACTTGTTTCATCCCCGAAGTTCTTGCCGTCATATGCTACAATTGTAAACACTTCTTCCCATTTTAGTATTTCTCCATGCACCATCTTGTTTTCTTGCAAATAATACTTATTACAAGGGAGGTAATTCAGTTGTATTATGTTGAATGCTTACGGAACAAAGAAGCAAGTGCATTGTTGTTAATTGTTCAAATATGGTTTCTTTCTCTTAATTTACTTGAACACAAAGTGTAGAAATTTCTTCCCTGCTCAGAAGATGCGTCTTCTCCGCACACAAGAACATAATGTTGTTGAGCTTAGAAGATGAACTGATTTTGTCCTAGCTATCATGTGATCATTTATTTTAAATGATTTATTTACTATTTTGTGATTTTATTTTTAAATTGATGTAGAAAATCAGCGAAGAGGTTTAGATCCAAAAGAGTTAAGTTGGGATCTTCACTTGGACGTGTTGTCATAATGAATGGAATATTAATGAATGCGCTAAACACTCCAACATTAAATTTGATTTCCTCCTATTTCCACAAAAAATTTACTGTGATGATCTGTAATAACAATATTTTTGAACCCTCATGTAGTTTTTTTTCATTTTGTTAAGTTGAATTTAGCACATTTGCTAAGAGCTGTAATTGGCGCTTTAGCGAAGGAAAAAAGAACATTATTAAAATAAGAAAGAAGTTGGATTAGAAGGTTTTGGAATTATATGTTGACCAATGTTAAAGGATGTCATTAAGCATGGAAAGTCTTTGTCAATGGGCTTTTTTAGTTGGTAAGCACAATTCAACTTAGTAGACTTCTATTTCTTCGTATTCTCATTTTGCATAATGCATTAGGTTTTTGTGAGGAGTTCACCATACTGACCCTGTTGGTTTATGAAGCTAATGGTTATTAATAAGAACTTTAGGGTGCACTTCTAGTTGACTCTTATTTTCTTTTATGGCATAAAAATTAGTAAACATTTTGCGGGATTCTTTACATCATGCTGTCATCGGCACCCATGTTGCATTCACAAACTCGCATCGTGAAACATTCTGAATTAACCAGCCTAAGCAACCGGTGTATAGGCTACGGTGAATGCTGCATTAATACTACAGTAAAGATATATTCAGGATGTAAAAATAAAATAACCTGACTTCTGAAAAACCCCAGGATGTGTGTATTCCATGAGAAGTCTATTCCTGACAATAAACAAAATAGCATGGTCCTGCTTGGTTTTTGGCAAAGGGTGAATGAAGCTAAAACTGAGGCCTACGCAATAAATTGTGGGGTTTACTTCACATCCTTATATCGGGTGTAGAGGCTGCCCCTTGAAGTGAAGGACATGATGTTGTGGCCAAAATATAGTGCAGCTTCTAATCAAACCTTCTTTATAATCTCAATTTAGTTTGTATTTTCCCTGTTTAAACACCGTAACATAGAAAATACAAAATCAGCTTCTTCTTATGCAATTCCAATGGGAAAACTGTAACTTTTGCATGCTACAAGTTCCCACCATACTTGGGTGGCTTATTTAGGGAATTGTCTGCTTGGCCATTAAAACTCGTAGTGTAACAGAGCTGTTAAGAGATCTAGAACATTGAGAGACATAGAATTATACGTCTCTCAAACAAAAGCCACAAGATTGTTTTTTTTTTTATTGGAAAAAAAAGACTTTATTGATGAAACACATACAAGATATGAGAAATTACATCAATAAAGAGGAGCTTAGAGTTGTATCAAGCTCCAACCTCCTAGTTGGTGAGAGACCAACAAAAAACAAAGCTAAGGCAAAGAAACCAAAGCACAAAACAGAAACAACAAGAACAACTACAAGACAACCAAAAACCAGAGCAAAAACTCCGAAACCAGAATTGCCTTGAACACCATTCAAATTGACCATTCATAGCACAACAACACGTAAACCTCCAAACGTAACCCTGCTTCCAAGCACCAAGTACTGCCTTGAACTCCATTCAAATTAGACCTATAACCCTAAAGACGCAACTAATGAAAATCAATCCAACCAACAAAATTCAGCAAAAACCAGCAGAAGCCAGCCCATTGAAGCAGCTAATAAAACTCAGCTGACAACTTAGAAACCAGAAGAAGTACATCAGTAACAGATAAACCAGAAGAGATAGATAACTCAGAAAAACCAGTAGCAGCACATCATCAGAGGTAGATCAGTAATAGAGAAACCAGTGATAGATCAGTAGCAGCACCAAAATAGCACTGGTGAAACCAGAATCACAAAGGACCTGAAGCAGACAACCTGATCTGATTAAAATTGAAAACAATATCATTAACTGTATAATCAACCTCCAAACTCCATTTTACCCACATAGTAATCTGCACCTTCATTTTATCACAAAATTTATCAAAAATAAGTTGTGTCCCTTTAAAAAGACATCAATTTCACAATCTCCATACAAACCATAACATAACAGAGGGGACTATCTCCCATAATCTGGAAACCCAGTACTTACTCTTACCAGCAGACCACCAGTGCAGAAGGCCCTCAACTGATCCAGGGATTGCTCAAACCTGATCCCTCCATTTTACCATTTGAGACCATCACTTCCAAACCGGTGGACAAAACAGAAGCACATGATCCAAGGATTCCATCTTAGCTTGACAAAAGACACACATTATATTTGCTGATGCATCTAACACTCCAATCCTTTGAAGGAAGGTTGAAGTCTTAACTTTGCCTCTCCAAGCCAACCAGCAAACTAACTGCACTTTTAGCAGAGCTAAACAAACCCACACCCCTTTAGGTACAACCTAGCCAAGCCTTTTTGCTGCATCCCACCATCTTCTCACAGAAGAGACTGAAAACTTCCCTGAACTGTTTGCTAGCCAAGAACAAGAATCAACACAATCAGAACTAACCATTGGAGATGTTTCCAGCAAACCCACCAATCTCTGTAACTCCTCAGCTTTCCAAACTAATAGCTGTCTTCTAAAGCTAAGCTGCCACACCCCTAAGTTACTTTTCTTGGCACTGATTTGCTAAAGGGTCTCCTCTTTCTCAGTGGATAAAATGTATAGTTTGGGGAATTGAACTTGCAGACCTCTGTTGTTAAGCCATGTATCATGCCAGAACATGATTCTCCCCACATTTCCAACCTTAATTCTAAAATGGTCACCATAGAACTCACTCAATTGTTGGTTTACTGAGAGGAGCTGCACAATATCCAGCCATATTGTGGACATCCCACCTGAAAGACTCATAGCTGGAACCCAACCTCCACTAGTCCGACCATACCTTGAGCAAACCACAGCTTTCCACAGAGTTGTATCTTCATTACCATACCTCCACCACCGCTTTAATAACAAGCATTCATTCACCTCACCTAAATCTTTCACACCCAAACCTCCTTGACTTTTGCTTTTGGTGACCTCCTTCCATTTGACCAAGTACACTTTCCTTTTATTATCATTCCGTCCCCACAGAAAAGATGACTGTAACTTGACTAAGGATTTAGCAACACCCTTAGGCATTCTAAAAAGAGAAAGGAAATAGGTTGGCAAGTAAGCAAGGACTAATTTGATCAAAGTCAACCTCCCAGCATAAGATAGTAATTTCCTCTTCCAAAAAGAAAGTTTTTTCTTCACCTTCTCCACTACTGGGTTCCATGTGCTCTGCCTCTTAGGATTGGCCCCTAAAGGTAGACCTAAGAAAGAGAACGGTAATTTCTTAGTCAAGCAATTCAAAATCTTCGCAAAATTCTTAGATTGATCATCTTAGAAGCCCACTCCACAAACTACACTTTTATGATAATTGATTCTTAACCCAGACATCACCTCGAAACACCTCAACACCCTTTTTATGTTCAGAATATCCTCATTATCACTTTCATATAATATACTAATGTCATCTGCAAATTGAAAATGTGAGACACTCACATCATTGGAACCAACAAAAGCCACAAGATGATGCTTGATAATGATGTACTTTCTTCAAACACTTGTTTAACCCAGACATCACCTCGAAACACCTCAACACCCTTAGGCATTCTTAACCCAGTTGTCCCCAATTATTTTAACTAGTGTTTCTCCAGTGACTAGTGTTTTCCATTGTATTGCCCCAGATTTTACAAACTCTGTTGCTTCCGAGGGAGAAGAAGAGCCTCATTCTTTGCCAATTGATGAACCAACTCTCCAACCTATCTTGGCTCCAAATCCTCTTTGGTTTGGTTCAACAGCTCCATCCTCATCAATGGTCACTCCGAAGAAACGCTCCCCTAAACTAGAGCCAGAACTTTCCAATGGTGGTAAGAGACCTAGACTCATTCCCTATTCTCAAATGGATTCTCCTCCAGGTATTTTAGATCTTTGTGATTTTTCCTTTAGTTTTGATTCTGGTTCCTTGTCTTTCTCTTTGTCCCCTCAGCTCTTGTCTTGGTTCCCTTCCTCTTTTCCTATCCCCTTGCATCTAACTAGGGTTTCGGTCGTTGTCCCACAACAACGCCACTTAGCCCAATGAAAATTGTCAGATGGAACTGCAGGGGTTTGGGTCAGCCCTTGACAGTTCGAGCCATTTTTAAACTGATCCGCTCTTATGCTCCTGATCTAATTTTCTTATGGAAACAAAATTTGATTTGATTTCTGTGCAATCTAAGTTTTCTAAATCTGGATTTTTTCATTGTTTTGGAGTTGATCCCATTGAGCTTAGTGGTGGTCTTTGGGTAGGTTGGAGGTCTCATCTCAAACTCTCTTGTCTTGTGTCCTCTCCCAATTTTATTCTTGCTAAAATCTTAGATGAAGTAGGTTTCTCTTGGCATATTGGTTTCGTGTATGGTCATCCCAATTTGGTTTATAGATCCCAAGTCTGGTCTTTTATCTCCTCTCATAGGCAGAGGTTTTCCAGTCCTTTGTTCTTGTGTGAGGACTTTAACCAAGTCCTCTCTTATGAGGATAAATAGGGGGCTAATGCCTTTTCTATTCTAGGAAGCTCCATTTTTAGATCTTTTTTGGATAATTGTGGCCTTTTGGAACTTAAAAATTGTGGCCCCTGATTTACTTGGACTAACAACAGAGATACTGAGGCTTGCACTTTTGAAAGGCTTGATAGGGCTTGGTGTAATCAAGCTTGGTTAGCTTTATTTCCTAGAGCCTTTATGGTCAGTCATGGTATTTTTCGGTCTGATCATGCTCCCATCTCCATTAATACGAGACCACCTTTGTATAGTTTCCCTAGACCTTTGTATTTTGATGTTTGGTGGCTTCACCACTCTTCCTCCTTTGAAATCATCCAATTCATTTGGTCTCTACCTATTCATGGTTCTCCCTTGTTGTGTTGTTCAATACCTTAAAATCATGAATAATGTTCTCTCTAAATAGGGTAAAGATAGGAATGTTTCATTCTCTTCTCAACTTGCTCTAGTTCAATCTCAACTTTCTTGTGTTCAAAATAATCTTTCTGCTTCTTCCCTTGAGTTAGAAAAATCTCTTCGAGCTAAGTTGGATTTTCTGTGGAATTGTGAAGAAACTTTTTGGGCTCAACGGGCTAAAGTGCATTGGTTAGCTTTGGGGGATAAAAACACAAAAAATTTTCATTCAATGACAAGAGTAGGGAGGTCTAAAAATCACATTTGGCATATAAATTCTCCTTCTGGCTTGGTCATTCATGATGAAAAGGAAATCAAAAATATTTTCTTTGTCTATTTCCAAGGTTTCTACTCTTCTAGTGTTGATCCCTCTGATCAATAGTTTTCTTCTATAAATGTCCAATCATCCTTGTCTCCTGTCCAAATTGATTTTCTAAACAAACCTTTCGTAGCTTGTGAGATAAAGGATGCTATTTTTCAAATGGGCCCTCTCAAAGCACCTGGTCTTGATGGCACACCACCCATCTTTTTTCAAAAATGTTGGCACATGGTATCTGTCCCCATTACCACTGCAGTGCTCTCTTTTCTCAATTTTGGGCATATACTTAGGGAGGTTAATCGAACTTTCATCAGTCTTATTCCCAAAGTACAGAATCCGGAATCAGTTGATCAATATCGTCTTATTAGCCTTTGCAATGTTTTGTATAAAATCATTTCTAAAGTACTTGCTAATAGGCTCAAAATGATTATTAACTCTCTAGTCTCACAATTTCAAAATGGTTTTGTTCCGGGGCGAGTCATTGCTGATAACATTTCCATGGCTCAAGAGCTTACTAATTTTGTGAGAACCAAAAAACTTTCCAAAACTTTTTACAGCACTCTAAAACTTGATATGAGCAAAGTTTTTGATAGAATCAACTGGTTTTTTCTTGCGAAAGTTCTTACAACTTTTGGCTTTCCTCCTAATTTCACTCATCATGCAGTGTGTCACTGCAGTTTCATACTCCATTTTAGTTAATGGTGCATTCACTTCTAACTTTGTGCCTAAGTAGGGGCTTAGACAAAGGGACCCTCTTTCACCTTATCTTTTCATTCTTTGTGTGGAGGTTTTCTTCTGTCTTCTTGTGTCTGATCAAACTTCTAAACAAATTGAAGGTGTTCAAATATCCAGGAATGCACCATCTATTTGTCACCTTCTCTTTGTAGATGACAGCTTCCTCTTCTTTAAAATCACCCCCCATGCAGGCCAAAATTTGAAAAAGATTTTAGACACTTATTGTCAACTTTCTGGTCAAGTCATCAATCTTCATAGATCTAATCTTTGTGTCAGCCCCAATACACCTTATACCCTACAACAATCTTTATCTCAATAACTAGGTCTAAATTTGGCTGTTAATTTCGGAAAGTATTTGGGGATTGAGCTTGATATAGTGTCTAAAAAGAAGGAGATTTTTCATCATCTCATTGAAAGAGTAAGGCCCAAATACCTAGGTTGGATATATTTTCTTCTTAATAAAGCAGGTACTCACTCTTGTCAAATCAGTGTTGGTTCCCATATGGATTTATTACCATTCCATTTATCGTTTTCCCAAATATGTTTGTAAAAAAATCTCTTCCATTATCCCAAACTTTATTTGGGCTGGTCATCCAAATAACAGGTCAATCTATTGGCTAAGTTGGGAAGTAATTTGTCCGCCTTTATCCACTGGAGGCCTTGGATTAAGAGTCATCTCTCTCTTCAACCAAGCACTCTTAGCTAAACAAAGCTAGAGAATCTTAATGTGTCCGGATTCTCTTTTCTCATTATTCTTCAAAGCTAAATATTGCCAATCTTCTTCTTTCCTTTCTGTTCACATGGCTTCCTCCAGTTCTTGGTGCTGGAGAAGTATTATTTTTGGAAGAGAAGCCTTGAAAAAAGGTATTCATTGGCAAATTGGGAATGAGAAGGACATCTCTTTATGGCATGATCCTTGGCTGCCCTTATGTTGTCCTGTTACCCTCTCCTCTTTGATTGCCTCAGAGAATAATCTATTGCTTGACAATCTTTGGGTTTCAGACCTCATAAATCAGGATCTTCACCAATGGAACTCAACACTTTTATCAACCTCACTTCCTCCTTCCATTGTACAATTGATACAAACAATCCCTCTTTCCAGTTTTGGATTTCCTGAGAGACTTATTTGGAGTCCTTCTTCTTCGAGTGAATTTTCAGTAAGGTCTGTCTATCACCTTTTAGCACATTTTAAGTCTACAACCTATTTTATTCTGGAACAAATTTCTAGAGGTGATGTCATTCAAACTTGTTTTAGGCACACTTCTTCTCTTAGCAAAGTGATTCATCCTGCTTGGCCTCAATTTACCTGAAAGCAACTTTGGTCCCTACCTCTACCCTTCAAGATTTGGGTTTTTATATGGCAACTTTGCCATGATAGACTTCCTGTGAAGCAAAATTTGGTCATTAAAGGCTTCCATGACAATTTAGCCTGCCCCCTCTATCATTTTGGCTTTGAATCTACCACTCACTTGTTTCTAAGTTGTGAATTTGTCCAACAAGTGTGGTTTGGTTCTTCTTTGGGTTTATACACATCCTCCAACAGTGCCACTCTTGTATCCTTTTGGTTGGGTTCTTGGTTTTCACATCTTAACCTTTCAAATAATGATGACCTTGAGCTCTTGTTTCAGATTATTGCTATCCTTTGGGCTATTTGGAAGGTTAGGAGACAATGTGTGTTTAGTGGCAAGAATTTCTCACCTCTACAAGTTTTATTCTTAACTAAAGATGTATTCTCTCTCTTAAAATCTAAAGAATTTCTTAGCTACTCTTCTTCTTCTTCTTCTTCTTCTTCTTATAGGATCCTCAATATTCAAAGCTCTTCTATCAATTCTATATCATTGACAACCCCTGATTCTTCCTCCAATTCCTCCCCTTTCTATCTTTTTAATCCTTCACAAAACAGTTGTGATTACAACCCTCTCCCTGTGGACCTTCTTTGTACTCATGTGGGTAATTCATCTCCTTCAAGCATGGGTATTGGCATGGTTGACCTCCTTAACAATGTACCAGGGTGGGCTCATTATTTAAATCTTTGCACATAAATGCTCATGATGCTCCAGCTGCATCGATTTTGTATGTTCTCAAGTGGGCTAAGGACAATAATTACTATCATGTTAATGTCTTTACTGATGCCAAATTTTTGTTTGAACAACTGAAGGGAACTAAGGACATTGAATCAAGCTTGGCACCAAAGATTTTTTATATTTGTTTTGTTGCGCAGAATCTTTACTCTTGTAAAATTTCCTTAGCATGTACAAATTATCTTAATTTTGCTAGGAGGTTGGCACGTTTTGCTGCATTTTTTCGTATCTCGGCTTATGGAGATGCGCACTTTCCTTTCGACAATGGTTAAGCAGTCAGAAATATTTTGCTTTCTTTTGATTTCCTTGTCAGCTTGTAACCATAATTAGTTAGTTGCTAGTATGATATGTGGATTGCTATGTACTATTCTACATTTTAATTGAAGTTTTTATTTCTGTCAAAAAAAAAAAAATTGTCAGATATTCGCACATAAAAATATATGGCTACTATGATTGTTTATACTTTTTGAATTCACAACATGTGTTTTGGTTTTTTTTTTTTAAATGATTACATCTACACTATATATATATATATATATACAGGTACATACTGTATAATATAGACAAATACAGAATAATAGGAAATAAAAATTGTAAATTATGAAATTTATCATAAAAGTGTTCTCTTTCAATTGAATTTTAAAATAGTTTAGTAAATTTTCTTTTTGAAAGTCATAAATCATGGAATAATTACATAACAATTTTTTTTTAATTTTTTAAAATTAAAAAATAATTAAGAAATTAGATACGAGATTTTGAAATTGTGGTAAGTCTTTTGTTATAAATAGATATAAATATAGATAAATTTTTCTAAAATATTTTATTATTTTTTAATTTTGTGTGTAAAGAGTTTTTTTTTTTTTTTTGTGGTGAGAATAAGAGATTTGAAAATTTATTCTTAAAAAAAAAAATTGAATATGAAAAGATAGAAATACATTTGCATAAGAAATCAAATTTTGAATATTTGAAATTTGACTTCTTTATTTTCTTATTATGATGAATTACTTCCTATATTTAAAAGCAAAACAAATATGTATTTTGAAAAGTATTTAGTTTTGGTGTCAATTTTCTGAATTCAATTTTCTAAAAATTAAGTTTTTTATTTTTTCTTGATTTTTTGTTTTTAGTGAATATTTTCAAAATTTTAAGCAATTTTTTTTTTTAAACTTTTTTTAGATGTACTTTACTTAGATATAACTAAAACGTAAAATATTTGTTAAAAAATATTTTAAAAAATCAATAAATATACAAGAATACAAAAAATGTACTGAATTCTTGTTTTTTTTTTTATATATTTTTGGTATTTACTGAATTTTCTAAAGTTTTTTTTCACAAATATTATACTTTTTAAGTGTATTTATGTTAGGTGTATCTAAAAATTAAAAAAAAATGCTTAGAATATTAAAAAAATTCAGTAAAAACAAAAAAATACAAAAAAAAAATTTTAATTTTTTGAAAAGTGAATCATGAAAATCCAAACCAAACAAACTCATTAGTATATTTTCCTTTTAAAAACCATAAATCATGGACAAATTAGAGTTTTATTTTGGGTGAAGTATCAATAAATCTTAAAATGTAATCTTGTAAACTATTTAATCCTTTTCTTTTTCTTTTTTCTTTTTGTTATGAATTCAAAAGTCCCATTAAAGTAGAAATTACACAAAATAATAATCACTTACACATTTTGGTTTAATTTTTTTTCTTATGAACCCAAAAAATCCATTAAAGTAGAAATTACACAAAATGATAGTCAGTTACACGTTGGTTTAATTATTAAGGATAAAAATGAGTTTCTCCAAATATAAAATTACTCATTTGGGCAATCTACGCTATAGTGGTTTTAGATTTTTCCTCATTCTGAAACAAATATCACATTACGAATAAAAACTTAACATTCTAATAACTTAACATTCCAATGTAACATACTAAAAAACTCTTTAATATACTTTTTCCAAACATAACAACGTAACCCTCCAAAAAAACTTCTTAGTGTACTTTTTCAAATCGTAGCACTCTAATATAATACACAAAAAAAATTCTTAGTGTACTTTTCAAACCGTAACACTCCATATAACACACAAAAAATTTTCTTAATGTATTTTTCTTAAACATAATACTCTAATTAATGTAATCCCAAACATATTGCGTTTAATCACTAATCTTAGAATAAAGAAATCTACATATATACACTTTTATTTTTATTTTTTGATTGGTAAATATTAGTTGTTAGTTGTTAGATTAGCATTTATGGGAGAAAATCTTCTTACCCTTAACAACATACCTAAGTACTTACACTCTCTTAATTCAAGCCTCCTAAAGAAAATTGAACCCATAACCCCTTTGACTAAGCCTTATGAAAGAGTCCTATCCAAAGAACTATTTAGTAAAACAAAATATGGCGATCCCGATTTTGCCCCGACCTTCATTGTGTCCCAGACTTGGGTTCCGTGGTCGAATGTTGTATCTATGTCTTGTTTTTCCCCTTTAACTCTTTGTATTTGAGTTTTGGAACTTGTTGGGCGTGTTTGGAACAGGTTGGTTGTTGATCGGTTTAGATTGTTGTTACCCAGGTTTTGGCCTCTTCGCTTGAGCGAGGCTTCTTGCGCTCGAATGAGCCTTGTGTAATTTGCTTCTTCACTCGAGAAAGGTTTCTTGCGCTCGAGCGAGGTGTGAGGGTCTTCAGGTTTTTCTCCCAAATGCAGTTTTTCTGGAAAGGAGAAGTTTTTCGCTCGAGCGAGCCTGGTGAAATTGCTTCTTCGCTTGAGCAAGACTTCTTGCACTCGAGCGTGAGTGTGCGTCTGTGGCAGACCTAAAGCTTTGCATTCTACACTCAAGCGATACTTCTTGCGCTCGAGCGAGGTCACTATTGTGTTTGGTCGCTTAAGCGACGACTCCTTTGCTCGAGTGAGGATTGCGTATATCAGTTTGCAGCGGGGCTTCTCTGCATCACTTTTGTATCTCTTTCACCCAAAACCCTAGCCCAGCTCCTTCTCTCTCTAAAATACTCTCTCTCTCTATAAATATACCTTGATTTAGGGGTCTCTCAACCCTAGTCCCTTTGTTAAAAAGGTAGAGTAACTCATAGGCTTCCATTTGATCCAAGAAACTTTGAGTTTTTTCAAGTTTCTCCTTCTTTCTTTTTGAGCTCTACATTTGAGGTAGGGATATTCTACTCTTTAATATGAGTTTTAACCAAGGTGTTTGTCATTTTGTATAAATAGTAGGATTTGGGAAGATATGGGTGAAGTTAAGGTTTGGATTTGAAATTTTGAACAAGGGATTTTCTATATTTGACTCCATATATGTATGTGAGGTCTTAAATATGATGCTATATGGGAATAATTGGTGAGATTGAGCCTTGGGGTTGGTATTGGAAAAATGGGGAGTTTTGCCCTAATATGAGTTAAATAAATTTTTGTATAAATAATGCAATTGATATGAAAAATATAAAATTGGAAGGAGTTGTAAATGGAAGGTGTAGTTGGATTTGATAAATCACTCACCTATAGAAAATTTGGTAAATTATCTGTTTGATAGATTTGTTTATCTGTTTAGAAATATCTGTTTTGGGCCATAGGTGGAGAATAGCTGTAATTGTTGTAAAAACTGTATGAGGACTAGATAAATTGAAACTAGTCATATGAATTATGTCATTGAATATGACGGTTTGATTAAATTGTTGAATATGTGATTTGATTAGTCATTGTATATGACAACGCTTTTAAATACATTGTATATGTATCATAGTTCGGGAGGAGATAAGGGATGTACTCCATTATTTGGGAGGAGATAGGGGATGGACTCCATTGATAATTAAGTTGGCCGGAGTGTCCAGGGTGAAAGTCCCGAAATCTTATATACATATGAGTGCCGATTCCCTCAGATGTGATTCCGTAAAATGGCAAGAAAATGAAAGTGTTTGAGTAACGGTTGTTATTAAAGTGTTAATAAATGAGTTGTAATCTCGTTTTGAATTGTTTAAATTACAATGAACCATATCAATGAATTGATTTGGATAAATGAATAGAAATGGATTGAAACATAGATGTCGATATTGACTAGTCATGGAAAGGGGTGTAAGTTTGTTTGCAAGTATTGAACATTTATCTGATGCTGAAATCTTAGTTAATTCTTATATATTGTTTAGCATATCTCTACTGGGTTTTGACTCACCCTACTTGGGAAACCATTTTCAAGTACAGGTGACATGCCGCCTCCAAGGACATAGCTTGGGAGGTTTAGGGGCTGGAGGCTCTATTTTTGTTATTTTGTTTTGTGTTTGTATGTTTTCTTCTAAGCTGAGAGCTTTAATTGTAAAGAGCTTATGACTCTCTTTTGTTGTAACTAAGTTGTCTCTTAGAAAGATATAAGCTCGTAGAGCATTTATTTTGTTGTTAATAATTAGTATTACATGCTGTAATTTCAGAATGAATATTTATGAAAGTGTAATGCATGTGATCTCTTTTGTAATATAAACTTTGATGAATAAAAGTAAATACATTTCCTATTATGTTTATAAATCTCTTGAGATAGATTATCCTCTTTATTTTGAGGGTGTTACACAAAAAGTGGCAAAATTTGTGTTGATTTGACAAGTATAGAAATTTGGAAATTTTACGATTTTTTACCTGACAAAAATGATAATGAAAATAACAAAAGACAAAATGGTGACGTGTGATGGTATTTTTGAAGCGAAGAATATTTTATTAGGTAATTTCTTACCACTAGTGAGAATGCCTTGCGCGCAAATGGGTGCCCATAGTGAATAAGTTTGTAAATTTATTTGTGAGATTTGAAATTGACTAATTAATCAAACATTGGAGCCTGTTTGGTAATTATTTTATTTTTAATTTTCAGTTTATATTTATAAAAGATTAAAAAATAGTCATAAATTGATAATTTTTTTGGTTTATAAATGGTTGTCTCAGTTTGTTAATTTGAGGAAAAACCATAAACTCACAAAATGAGTTTATGTTGGTTTTTAAACAGAAATTTAAAAATTTGACTAAGAAATTTTTTTTTCAATTATTTTTTTTTTCAAATTATTTTTTTCAATTAATTTTTTCCCAATTATTTTTTTTTCAATTAATTTTTTTCAAATAATTTTTTTTAATTAATTTTTTTTCAATTATAATGTTTCTAACTGATACTAACCAAGGGGGCAATTGGTAATGCTACTTTAAACCTTAGGGAGGGGATTGTAATTTTTTTTTTATGTTTTTAAAATTTTTCAAACATTTTATTCAAACCAAATGCATTTGTAGTTTATGTTTTTCTAAAAATAAACAAAAATTAGTTTATAAATTTTTTATAATATAAACAAAAAGTAAACGTTATTAAATACTACTGTAGTTTATTTAATTTTTTTTTTTTGGCTTAAAAAATCCATATCTTTATAGTCTTTTAACATTCAAAATTTACACAATTCATATAAATAAA